TTCCTGTCTGCTGCTCCTTCCTTCCAACATTTTTCCTGTGGGATTTCCTTATGGGCTACAGTCCTGCGATATAAACCTGCTCCAGCATGGGCTCTCCTCAAGCCACCGTTCTTTCCGGAAATATCCAACATCTCCAGTGTTGGGTCCTCCACAGAATGCAGGCATTGCCTTCTCCACTGTGGCCTTCTCCCTGAGCTGCAGGAAAATATATGCTCTACTGCGGTCTTCTCCACGAGCTGCAGGGGACTATCTGCTCTGGCACCTGGAGCACCTCCTCTCCCTCCTTCTTCACCAACCCTGGTGTTTGCAGGGATGTTTCTCACACCTTTTCCCCGCACTCCTCTCCCACTCCAGCAGTTGTGCTCTATCTTAAATGTGCTTTCACAGAGGTTCCACCAGCTTCACTGATGGGCCATTTTTGTCCAGTGGAGGGTCTGTTTTGGAGTTGGTTAGAACCAGCTCTGTCTGGCATGGACGCATCCCCATGTCTAATCTCACAGAGGCCACCCCTGCAGCTGCCCTGCTACCAAAACCTGGACATGGACACCAATACACAGGACAAATCTTTGCCTTGCCAAAGGATGTCCCCTGCTCTTCCCTCATCCACAACTACAAGTTACTCACTGGGGAGGAAGAGAGAGAACAGAAAAGGTCTTGAGGCTCTGCAAACATGGTTCAGCAAGAGCTACAACACAGGAGTGACATTTGATTCCTTCCAGTCTTTGGAGGACTGTACTGTGTGCACACCTGAGCTGAGGCAAGAGGAATCCCACCAGCTGTGGGTTGGTGGCAGGCATGGGAGGGAGCTGGGTCCCTGGGACAGATGCACTCAACTCCTTGATCAAAGTCGCAGAAGATTGGTTTAGGCTCCAAAGGAGGTAAAGGCCTAGGTGTAACCAGGCCAAGAACTTCTCTAGTTCCAGTCTGTTCTCTGGAAACCCACACAGGAGCAGAGTGACGTGGTGAGCCTTGGTGCATATGGGCTTGGAGACTGGAACACCTGTCATGCGATTCAGACATAAAGGGCAGGTGGTTCCTCCAGGACTCATTTATCAAGGAACAAAGAAAGAGGCACGTACAAGGAGTCTCATGCATAACTTTTCCAGCCCATGTAATTTGATTATGAGCCAAACAATTTATCCCATCAATGTGACAGCCTCAGTGAGCCTCCTGTGAGCTCTCCCTACTAAGCAGCCTGTCTTCACGGCAGTGATCTCCCCTTGAGCTGGGACACCTCTCAAGGAAACTCTTCGAGGTAGAGAGACCTCTTACCAACTGCAGACCTTTTGGAAGTGCCCAATATCGTGCACAACCTTGTGTTCTACTGCACTAAGATTTTGCATTGGTAACATTGAACCATTGTTATATCCTTTGTGCAGTAAGCAATAGAGTGAACCTTGCCATCAAACTTGTAAAGCTTCAGTAAAACCCCTTTTGCCAACACCTTTGGCAGTGGTTCTTTAAATTGCCCATCTGCAACAAATTGGCGTAGTCAGCAAGATTCTAAACCATGAGCCACAGCAGACCTTGTTGCAGCCATACAATGCATAAGGGAGGTTTATGCGAAGATGGAGAGAAATATTTTACCAAGTCCTATAGTGACAGCATGAGGGGTAATGGTTCTAACGTAAGGACGGTAGTTTTAGACTAGACCTAAAAAGACATTTTTTATGGTAAGGGTGGTGAGACACTGGAACAGGTTGGCCAGAGAAGCTGTAGATGCCCCATCCCAGGAAGTGTTTAAGGCCAGGTTGGATGGGGCTTCGGGCAACCTGATCTAATGAAAGATGTCCCTGTCCACGGAAGGAGATTTACACTAGATGGTCTTTAGAGGTTCCTTTCAACCCAACCCAACCCAACTAGGATTCTATGATTCTATTTTTATCTACATCCCTATTTTGCATCAGGCAGGTGAGTAGACATTCTGAGAGAGGAGAACAGTCAAGGGCTGAGAGCAGAGGCACAGGTCAGGGTGCTCTGGTGTGATCTTCCTCTCAGCCCTGCATCACCCAAGGTGCAAATGTCATGGACCTTGCATCAGTGCCCTGCTGTTGTCATTCAGGCAGTGGAACAGAATCACTGGGTTCTTTTGGGAGGCCCTGTGGTGTCTTCCCCGCACAAGCTCCAACAGGGCATAGCTTTCCTGGAGGTTCAGTGCTGTGTTTACCTGCTGAGTGGAGCTGTGTTTGGCACCCAGGCACCTGGCGTGGCAATAGATGAGGTTTTTTTGGGGTTTTTTTGTTGGTTCTTTTTTTTTAAATGACATTAAAATGAGAGCCCTGAAATAAAAGTCTTCAGTGCCTCGCAGAAGGGATGTGGCATGGACAAGAGAGCTGCCTGTAATTCTAGCTCTAGAACTTCAAACCCAGAATGAAATGCCTCTTTCATTCAATTGATCATATCCTTTGAGCCTGGAGAAATTAGATCATTCCCTGTCACCTTCCTGATGAGTCTCTCCCCAGCAGAGGGAGGGAAGATCAGGGATGACTTCAGCCTGTGTCACAGCAGGTTCCCCTGGAGCCCCAGGGACACCTGGAGGGAGCCCCGAGGGGGCAGAGCAAGTGCTGCCTTGGGCTGGTCCTCTGCTGCTGAGCTGGGCTGGGCTCCTGGGAGGGAGGGAGCTGATGGCAAGTGGGCAGCACTGCCGAGAGACAGCTCTGCCCAGGAGCAGCTCCTCTGCAAAGCGCAGCAGGGCTGAGGGCACTGCCTGCAGGCACCAAGGGGAGAGGAGCGAGGCAGAGAGGTTAAAGGCAGCCTGGGGTGGGAAGATGCTAAGAGCTCACTGGGGGAAAAATCTTCACAACCCTTAACTGAGTAAGTCTCTATCTGCAGGACAATACAGCTGCATTTCCTCGATGGGTCTCCTAAAGCTGTCACAGCACACATTGTATGTGATATGAGTAAGTCTGTGGCTGCAGAAAATGCATTTGCAGGTCCTGGTAGCATCTTCCAAAGCTGGCACATTCCACAGATCACAGGATCAGTAAGTACAACTCTTAGAGCTTCTCTGCTGTACAGGAGGAGGACGTGCTGCAGAGAAGGGACATTCCACTGCACCATCAGAGGGACAGGGCATGATGGCTGCCTTCTCCCAGGGAAGGCTGCAGGGTGGGAAGCCGGGTGTGCAGGCAGGGGTGCCCAGGACTGTTCTTCCTAGCAGGGTCCCTGCACCCCGGGGGACTGTATGCCGGGGCAGGGACTCTGCTGCCTGCCAGGCTCAGCACTCAGCCTGCCCAGGGTTCTGCAGGGAGAAGCTGTGTGGGGAAGAAGTGACCTTCAGCAAGGCAGGGTCCTTCTGCTGTTGAGGGGGTCCTCAGGTGTGGAGGGTGTGGATCAGGCCTGCTCACAGTTGCACATCACCCCCAGGACATTTCCAAGGGGATGTCTGAACGAGAAGATCAAGGCAGGGATTACTATGAAGACAAGAACTTTCCTGACTCTGTCTTTCCAGTTTGACATTCCAGGCGTCTGGGCAGCGCAGAGAGAGAAATATAAAAAAGGTTCTAGCTTTTTTTAACAAGTCACTGAGTTACCTGAACTGCAACTTAGAGATCAGTACGTCTGCCAGGAACCTGGTGAAGTGCCTTCAGCCACTCCTCTGCATCTGGCCATCATCAGCATCATCTCTGCTGCACCCATCAGGCTTGGCCTGAGCCATCCTTTTTTTCCCCTGAAAGCAGAAGCATGTACCCTGCCAGCCAGTGCCCTGCAAACAGACAGGGTTCTGGAGGGCCAGGGGGAGGGCATAGAGTTTGGTATTGGGTCTGAGCGTTGACAGGGAAAAGACATGGGACAGGGAAACACTTCCCAGGGCAAGAATCTCCAGGCAGCAGGGGTATGATCAGGGAATGAGAGGAAACTAAAATGGGAAATGCTGTGGGAGGGAGAATTTTTAAACCTGTGCATGATCCCCTCAAACGCCAAGCCCTTCCTCTGAGCAAGCCCCCTGGCCTCCTCTCCCAGCCACCAAAGCCTCTGCCCTCAGGGCTGGAGGCTCCAAGGCGGGAAACAGCTCCTCTTCAGCCAGAGCTCCAGCAGAGCCGTGGGGGCGGCCCCCCGCC